GGGGGGGGGGGTCAATCTCTTTAAGAGTGACTGCCAACACCCGCCAGGCAGGTAGATCCCCTGAACAGTGCCCTTCCCCACTACACTATTCAGAGTGGCCACATTCAGACAGGGTGAGGTGCAGAGGAGCCAGGGAGGAAGCCCCCAGCTCCTGGCTGCAGGGTGCGCCTCAGCAGGTCAAGCTCACTACCTGGACCACCCAAGAGCAGCCAGCATTAGCACCACCCTCCATCCTCAGCAGCCCTGCTCACCACGGCAGGTGTCTTCCAGGCTCTAATTTAACCAAAATGCTTAGTTCCCCTTGCCTCAGGAGTTCAAGGTCCACCCAGCCCAAAGGCCCATAGGGAACAGCTCCTTCAGCCTGCACCTGCCTCTCCTCACTAGCCTGTGTGACTCACCCCATCCTGGGCCATCTCCCACCCCACTCAGTTGAGTGGCCCCATCCCTCTTCCTTCTAAATGAGACCTGGAGAAATATATCTGGAGGACTCCTGAAAGTCAGGGAGGCTGCAGAAGTCTGACCAGGAGTTTGAGGACAGGGGAGGCTGGCCGCTGGAGAGAGGACCCAGCTGGGGAGGAGGGGATGGGGAGAGGTCCAGGCAGGCAGAAGTCAGTCCCAGAAGCTGGGAAGGCAGCAGATGCGGGCACATCCAAGTCGGGCAGCCTCGCTAGAGGAAGGGTGGCTGCCACCCAGGGTTGCACTGAGGAAAACAAGGAATAGGTTCTGGCCCAGACACCCACCTCCATCTCTGGCCTCATAGGTACCCATGTCTCTCTCCTGGAAGCCAGGAAAAAAGGTGTGGGACAGGGGAACAGGACCACGTGCTTGGGCTGGTCAGGACCAGAGCTCCTCCACACGACTGTACCGTCCGAGAGGTCTCTCTGGCTTTTAGCCCTTGTCAGGAGTGCACTTGGCCAACCTATCCCCCACAATGACTGTTCCACAGCACACACCCTCTGACTCTTCCTCACTGCCTTCAGAATGAAGTCCAGGCTCTAAGCAAGCCCTAGATGATGCGCCCCTCCCCCTCCCCACTGACCCCTCTGGCCTCAGCAGCTCCCAGCCCGTGCCTGACAGGGAACTCTGTTCCAGCCCTCATGAAGCGCTGTCAGGCCCATGACCATGCCAACCTATCTTACACCTCTGGGCCTTTTGCTCAAGCTATTTGCTCCCTCTAGGTGGAATTCTCTTTCATAACCAGCAAGCAAACTCCTACTCAACCTTCAAAACCCAGACCCAGTTTCTCCTCTGTGAGGACTCCCCAGACACATATCATGCTGTGGTTCCCAAGCCTGATTGTGGAGCTTTAAAAAAAAATGCATGTGTCCCAGGCACAAGATTCAGTAGCTCAGGGGTACAGCCAGGGAGTCTATGATCAAAGAGCACACGTGATTCTGGGACACATACAACCCATAGTATAACTATCTCCCTCACTAGACTGTGACCTCTTCTTTTCAGCTAGCTCAGTGTCTGGAGCACTGGCCCACATGCTAGACAACAGTTGCTGAGCTGCCAAGTCCAGAGGCCTAGAACCAGCCATCCTGAAAATCTCGCCCTGCCTGGGATCTACTCACTGTGGAGTCGGTGAGGCTAGGGCGTCCCTGGGCCTGGGGCAGCTGCAGGTGTGGGACTTCCTGCCCAACAGAAAGAGGAGCACAGTTCCAGGTGAGAACTTCAGCCCCCAGCTGTCCTCTGCTCGGTCCAGAAAGACCAGAGACAAGAGGGAGAGGTAGGGGTGCCAGCTGGACAGTGGAGAGAGCACGGCTAGTGCATGCAGGGTGGCAGGTCACCAACACACTGCCCTCGGAGGCCCCAGCAAAATGGCCATCTGCTGTGAAGTCTGGAGGCAGAGGGCTCCCAGGGGCTCTAGAGAGACCAGGTGCCTGGTCCAAGAAAACACCAGAGGAGCTACAGCAAGAAGAACATGACCAGAACTCAGAGCCCTGAAGAGAGAGAT